TGCGGGAGCGGGGACTTCAGGTAGAATGATCCCATGTCAAAAGGCAAAGCTAAAAATTCTGGAACGAGCCAGGAAGGCATCAGGATGTCTCATTTTCTTTGCTGGAGGCATCTTTTGGGGTTTGGGGTGGTGGGTGAGTAGAAGGAAGGAAGCGTGGCCAGTGAACCTCTGACTTTTAACTGAAGAGTTATTTCAAAACAGGGAACAGAGGGTCGGATGTGGTGCTGCAATCCCAGCTGTTTGGGAGGTAGAGGTGGGCCGATCACCTGAAGTCAGGAGTTCAAGACTATTCTGGCCAACATGGTGAAACCCCATCTCTACTAAAAATACAAAATTAGCTGGACGTAGTGGCGCCCCCAGCTACTCGGGAGGCTGAGGCAGGCGAATTGCTTGAACTCCGGGGGAGTGGAAGTTGCAGTGAGCTGAGATCGTGCCACTGCACTCGAGCCTGGACAAGAGACTCTGTCTCAAAAAAAATAAATAAATAAATAAATAAATAAATAAAAATAATAAGAAAAAAAAAAAAAAAAGCAAAACCCCAAAACGGAACAGAGACAGTTTTTGTTTTTTGTTTTTTTTGAGATGGAGTTTCGTTCTTGTTGCACAGGCTCGAGTACAGTGGTGTGATCTCGGCTCACTGCAACCTCTGCCTTCTGGGTTGAAGCAATTCTCCTGCCTCAGCCTTCCGAGTAGCTGGAATTACAGGTCCCACCATCACGCCCGGCTAATTTTGTATTTTTAGTAGAGACAGCGTTTCTCCATGTTGGTCGGGCTGGTCTGGAACTCCCAATCTCAGGTGATCCGCCTGCCTTGGCCTCCCAAAGTGCTGAGATTACAGGCATGAACCACCGCGCCCGGCACAAGAACAGAGACAGTTCTGTATCCCAGAGGGATTTATTTGTGATGCCTGCTCAAAACTCAAGAAGCCATCACCCTAATACTCATCCAGCCCCGGAGAAATTTCGTTTTTAAGAGTGTCAGAAGGTCCCATGAATAACCGTGCAGTCACTGAAGGAGCTCCTTACTCAGCAAGCCCCGGTCTCTCTTGCACTCGGGCCTCGCAGATGGCCTCGTGCGTAGACTGGCGGTCCAGCCTACTGGGGACACTGCCCGGGCGCACCCCGCGCCGCCTTTGGCCACTGAGGCCCGGGTCCTCTAGGCGCCGGGCTAGGGAAAGTCTCCCGGCCGTCAAGGCTGGGGCAGCGCCGGGGGACTGGGGCGGGTTACTTGCGCCAGGGGGGCCTAGAAGCTGAAGGGCTGGACGGCGCTAGCGGGCGCCAGGCACCGAGACCCCTGAGGCGGAAGGGACAGCTAGCGGTTCGGCGAGACTGGCAAGCCCCGGGCGCCCAGCTCCGCATGCGCGGCCGCTGCGGGGGCTTGTCCGCAGGTGGCCATCAATCTTCGCCTCACTCGGCTCTACCTCGGTGGCCGCGCCCATGCTGCCCCCGCCACAACTAGTCACGAGGAGCCGCGGACTGTGCTCTAGATGCTCACTTCGAGGACTTTCCGCCTGCGTGCTCTCTGCCCGCCGCCACCCACGGCCCGGCTCCGGGCAGCTCGCTTCACCCCTCCCGGCTTCCTGGGGCTAGGACGCACCATCAAGTCGAACCGAATCCTCCTTTTTTCCTAGACAAGCCAGGGCGGGGGGAGGGGGCCGCACTTCCGGCCCACGTGAGCCGGCGTCGTGCGTGGCGTCTGAGGGTCGGGCATCTCGGGCGTCTACCTGGAGTCACTGAGCCCACCAAAAGGAAAAGGTTAGTCCCTGTCCAGGAAGAGCACAGCCTAGTGGGGCGGGCGACAGGTTACAGTTGCTGCCTTACAATGGCCGGGGCCCATGGAGTCACTAGACCCTCATTAGGGGTCTGTCAGGAAAGGCAGCAGATACGTGAGGCCTGTACAGGAAGGAATTGGGAGACCCAAGACTGTACCGACAAAACTGCTTTGGAGTCGGGCAGACCTGGATTTGAATTTGTTTCTTCACTTACTAGTTGTGGGTCTTTGGGCAAATTTGCCTTTTTCTTCTTTTTTTTTTT